CGTCGGTTCACCTTCTGTTTCCTCGTCCATTTCTTTCGGAGGAGAGTCACCTGGTCTCTTTCTTTTCCTTAGCTCCTTTTAAAGTCGAGCAACCTTATCTAGTTGCCCCTTTTCTACTGTCTAATCAGAAGTGGCCCATAGGTCGGGAGTCATGGGACCCTAGTTGCTCAGGTTCAGCACATGATAGACGATTAAGGGGTCGGTGTACTGAACAACCGACAAATGCCTTCTCAGGACGGCCGATTCAAGAAAGCTCGGGTTCAGCACATGATAGACGGTTAAGGGGTCGATGTACTGAACAATCGACAGTTGCCCTTTCAGGCTGGCCGATTCAAGACACCCCCACCCCCATCCCCATCCCCTCCCACTCTCGAACTAAACATATGAGGAGAATACCTGCAAGCCATGGAGCTCTAAGAGAAACCAACTAAAGGATGGAACAAGTAAAAAAACAAAAATACTCACTGCGTTTCCACTTAACCCTATATATAAAGTATACGAGGAAATTGAAATGTCTCACATCCATACAACAATCTTCATAATACACATTAAATCAATATAAAATTCGATAATACACAATGATTAAAATTTTTAAAATTCGATAAAAATGAAACTTTTATTTATGACTAGAAGTATTTTACAGCCAAATTATCGACTACCTCAGCCAGCACTAAACCCTGACTCGCCAGACTATGCATGCCCTCCAATTTATACTTCTCTATCATCTCTTCCTCCGCTCGCACACAAGTCATCAAGCTGGCCGCGTGAACATCCAAATCGCTTTGAAGAGTTGCCACTTCAGTCCGGAGGGTCGCCATTTCTGCATAAAGGACTGTCAATTCTTCCTTTATATCCGATATGGCGGTCTGTTTGAAGCCTCGCTGCTCGGGCGAAGGAGTCCACAGATTTGTCCATACAATGGGCCATCAACTCATGAGAGACTCGCCGACCATCTGTCTCCCTCTCGATGTCAGTAAAGGTTGGCGGATTCTCAGATGCCACTTTCACAGGGGTAGGAGCAGAAGTTCAATGGGCGCCTATGGAGCGGGATGTTGCTCAACCTTTGAGTGTCGGGAATCGATGATTTGCATGGTCTCATCTGCAACATCAAAATAGACGTCATTAGAACGAATGAATAAATCAAACACAAGAATATTTGATATATTGAATAGTCTCTCCATCTCCTAAGTATGGAGACTCTCCTCAGCAAGCAGCGGAACATCACCTTGGATAAGCCTCGCCAGCCTAAGGTGGATACATTTAACCTTACGGCGATAGAATTTGTGCGGCCACCTCAATCCCCTCCTATTCTTGGGGCGGCAGTTGAGTCGGTCATTGGCGAAACGAACCAGCAGCTAAGACAGGAGAATCAGTGATATGCACTCCCATCTCTAGAAGTGGCAGTGAGTCAAGATATTCTGCAACTTCCTCTACACTTTATTCTTTGTTATTGAATGTTTCACCATTTTGGTGCCCTTCGGACTAGCCTCCTCTACTGACATTTTCCTCGACTGGCCTTTTTAAACCAACCAGTCAATCACCGTCCTCCGGCCTTTTTTCGATCGGCTAACTCTCCGAAGTTTTTTTTTTCTTTTAGAGAAGAAAGGAGCTCTCCATATTCTTCTTATCACGCCCTGAAGGGCGGATCCTAAAAGTTGGAAGCTCAAAGGGCCTCATCAGCGCTTCTTCGCTCGTAGGTTTTTTTCCCACTCGGCATCCTCGTCCTCTACTGAAGTCGATTGAAAGACAAGAACTTCGAAAATGATAAAGGTAAGAGTGAATCACATCCTATTTATAGGGATTATTGGCACGAAAATCTAAGGAGTAAATTTGCTGGAAGTGTTTATAATGCGATAAATAAATAATTGCAATTGCAGTTGTCACTATTTAATCAGGAAAAAGCTTGTAAGGTTGAAAATGCTATTATTTTTGCAACTGTAATTATTTTTGTAATTTACAAGTGAGAGAATAATTGCAATTGGGAAAACTAATGGAAGTGTTTATAATGCAATGGCTCGTACATGATTAATAATGTCCCTATTTAATCAGGAACAAGCTTGTAATTTACTATACACTCCCTATTATCTTTAAATAGGGGTCATTCTTTCAGAAAAGACTGTTGAATATGTTCAAAGAGAATTAATATTATTTGTTGTTTACTCTCATCTCTCACTCCCCCTCTCTATTCCCCCTTATTCCTCTCATCTGACTAATGCTTTATCCCGTAGGAGTGACCCAAATGACATTTTAAAATTCAACAATGTGTGTGTGTGTGTCTATATATATATATATATATATATATA